GACTAAGATTTGTTATCCGAAAATTCTAATATCAGATGGGAGCTGTGTTCAGCCACTTGTGGTAAGAAGCCAAATGAATTTTGTATTAGTAAAATAATTGATTTATCTGTGTTATAGCCACTATTGTATTATGAGAAATAATGTAATATGAGAAATTGTGTATTTTTGTAATCACAGAATTTGTAACATTTTGTATTGTAGAATTGACTTTGTGAACAGAAAGAATGACTACAAACTGTATGTAAATGATTTTTTATTGGGAAAGGGTGCTACTGTTACTCTAGAAGTGTTTTCCCTTAGTCATTTGTACTTTATATCTTTAACTAGAAATAATGCCCGTTGCGGAAATAAATACAACGGGATCTAGAAAGAGGCTCTGGGAGAGTGCTCTGGCTTTCCTGTGGCGACCTCAGCAGGGTTTAATGACAGAGTCCACTGTTTTCTCCAGAGGGACTGATCTCTGCTACCTGAAGAGCATTTGTATGTTTGAGTTATCTGTAGCCCTCACCTGGAGAGTGGTAACCATTGTTACCCATTCTCCTCTCCCCTATGAGGTATGTTATGCAACTGAAAATCCCAACTGCCTTGCGGGGGGGGGGGAGTTTGAGGTGTGGAATGGACTGAAGTCCAATCAGCTTCCATATGCAAAAGACCAGGCTGTCGCAGCAGTTGTGGTGTGGGCGGGACCCGGGCTGTGCCTTCTGATTGGTGGCGATATATGCTGAGGAGCAGTGCCATCAGCCATACACTAATGGAGTGCATTTTAGAATTAGAACTTTGGCACCCACTATTCAATTATATATGAGGAGAGATAGGAGATGTGACAAAGACTTTGGTCGAAATGAACAGCTAAAATCTCGAGCAAGTTCATCTTGTTGGGACTTCGGTCTCTGGATGTGCAGCTACTGAAACAAAAAAGAACATGTATTAAATTACTAATATTTTGCATAAGTATATTGAACTTGTTCGGCAACTTTTTTGTCTTGTCCTGGAGTCTGCAGGAGACAGAGGTCATTTTGGGAGACATGCTTTCCAACTTTCTCCAAAGTAATGAAGTAATGTGCCTGCCCTGCATACCATCTAGATAGGGCATGAGTTTAGAGAAGGGAGAGAGGAGTGGTTTTGTCACCTTCAGTTTGTTTCTTCCGTTCACGTTTGATATGCCTGTAGATAGTTAAGAGCTTTGAATAAATCCTTTAACTGTTGACAGCGAAAAGTCCCTCTGTACCATTAGTTCCCCCAGCTGCTTGGACATGCTAGGAGTGGGTTAGGAAATCCCCAATGGGGAAAAAAGGGAGGGAAATGGCCAGTTGCCAACTCTCTAGTGGAGCCCCACAGATTCCCAGGAAGCCCTGTGGTGGGTTCCTAGTGACACCGGAGGGAGGTTAGGAGACTGTCCTGCCTGACCAGAGCCCAAGACAGGGACAGTGGCGGCGGCAGTACCCGGAGGCATTGGAGAAAACCTGCCCCTTCAGGTGCTGGGTCAGGCAAAGGAGGGGTGGACAGAGCGGGGCCCACCAGCTGACACAAGCCCATTCTGCCACAAGAACAATGGAGTTCTACTTCATAGGGTTACATGCAATACCATCCATGGTAATAATTACATGATTAGTTTGTTGTGCGGCTGTCCCTTCTGCAATTATATTACCATGGAAGCCACTGCATTTAGTCATATGGAGTGTAAGTCCATCAACCTGATGTGAAAGTCTTGCACAGAAAAAGAGAGAATAGGAAGGATCCCCTTCATAAAAGGTAAAGGTTCCCTTGCTCGAAAGCCAGTCGAGTCCGACTCTAGGGTTGCGGTGCTCATCTCCGTTTCAAAGCCAAAGAGCCAGCGCTGTCCAAAGATGTTTCCGTGGTCATGTGGCCGGCATGACTAAACACCAAGGCGCACGGAACGCTGTTACCTTCCCACCAAAGTGGTACCTATTTATCTACTTGCAATTTCTTGCTTTCGAACTGCTAGGTTGGCAGGAGCTGGAACTAGAGACGGGAGCTCACTCCGTCATGCAGCAACTCGGGTCTCGAACTGCTGAACTACTGACCTTCCACAGCTTGCAATTCAGTGTCTTAACCATAGTGATGCGGAAATCTGTGCCTGCATGCTCCCGTGCCGAACTGGAAACACACAGTCAGAGTCCAACAAGTTAGATGAATACCTGTTTAATTGCATTGAAAACAGGGAATACAGGCCTGAATGCCTTAGCACCTCAGCAATTCCAAAACTGTATTCTGCCATATACCCCAAATGACATCACATATTGTTTACACATTAAAGAGTCTCTAATTGGTACCAAGCAGTTAATATCATACAAGCATAATTTGACTCATTGCAACTCTCAGTGGTGTCAGTAATTACACTTTTTACCTTGCCTTCAGAACACTGGGAACATTAGAGAACACTGGGTCCCTTCCTGGGCTTGCATGTGGAGGACGGTATCTTGATCCAGTCCCGAGAGCAGGAGGTTGTTCACTTAAGAAGGGCAGTTCGGGGTCCACCATTCCAGCCTTATAGGGACTTAGTAAGGCAATGGCCAAAAAGTGTCTGGGGGTTAGGGTTGTCCTACAATAGCACCTGAGTAAATGGGCACTAGCCCATGAAGGTTTATACTGGGATGAGAAAGATACTGCTAGCCTGAAGGTGTCTAGCCAGAAAGTGATTAATTGTGAATGCTTTCATTAATCTTTCTGCCTGCTTGTCCTGTGGGGTTACTGAACTGCTGTAATGTGGCCTTAAGGAGGAAATGTAAATACCTCATTTTGTTGCTATAAAATAAAAGTAACTTGATTGTGGTCAGTCGTGTTGGTCTGAAGCAGTAGAACAAATTTAGAGTCCAGTGGCACCTTTAAGACCAACAAAAGTTTGCTTGAAAGCTTTGTTGGTCTTGGTAGAAACCTTTTTGTTAGGCCAGAGGGTAAGGCATAAAAATGATGCAGCATTTACAGAAGCTGCACGTGTCTGACTCCTTCAGACGATACCGGAGCAACTTCCCCTCTGCAATGCTACACGAGCAAAGCACCATCACCTTCCTGGGGACCTCCAGAGCCTTCTCCCCTCTACGATCTCGGACATCTCCAGCCAATCAAAACTGAGAGGCTTGACAACCAGTAGTACGCGATTGGAAAATGCTCTGTAATAAACACATGCGGGAGGAGGGAGGCTCGTGCTTGAGAGACAGCACGGGAGCGCCAATAAGTCCCCAGCTACCGGACCAATAGCAGAAGGGGGGGGGGGGAAGCGCACACCTAACCTAGACGATGGTTGCGCGCGCCGTACTTCTCTGCCGAGCATCGACCTCAGGAAGGAGGCGTGGCCTAAAGGGGATAGCCGCGTGAGCGAGGCGCGGTCTCCAGGCATGGGGGCGCGGCTTTGCTGGAGAAGGCGGAGCTGTCTGAAACGGGAGGCTCTGCTGTCGCAGTAAGCGCTGGGCTGCGGCGGGGTCGGTTGGTGTTGTCGCTAGCGTACCAGGACAGATGCAACCGGGCAGCAGCTGCTTGTCTGAAGAGCGTGCTCGTAGAAGGTGGTAATTGCGCTTGATAAGCCTGATGCACTTAGATGGTGACAAGCCTTTAATTGTTTGATGGGCAGCGAGAGATGCTCTGAAGAGGGCCGCCACCCCTGGAGAGTTTGCCTGGCAGCAGCCCTTTCTTCTCCTTATTTAAAGGGCACTTAGCTGCACCGGCGGGAAACAGCGCGGCAAGGCGTAAAAACCAAAAACCGTCCTCTGCTTTTTCAGTGCACCAGACAATAGCGAGAGTCGGAAGCCAGGCTTCGATTTCACTGCCTGAGACACCAGAAACAGACAGAGAAGCGGAGAGGAAGATGGAAGAAGCCCAGAACTGGCCGTCCAGCTAAACAGTGTACCGAAATATGTTTGTGTGTGCCCTTCTAAAGAAGAATCATGAAATCCAGATTATAGCTGTAAACCTTCTCTAGCGCTTTGGGATTTTTTTTAGAAGCAGCTCGTTTCTACTCAATAATAAGGGGGGGGGGAGTTGTGAATCGTTTCTTTTCTGGGGAGGAGGAGGAACCCAGAAAGTCCGGATGAAATTGGCCAAGTGGTCGTAAAGCCGAAGAAAGCTAAATATGTGACGATTCAAAAGAAACAAACCAATCTGCATTGGATTATTTATTCGCGACCCCTAGTTGAACACAGGCGATTTCTGGGGATGAGATGAGTGAGACTAGGGCTCTCCGCTAGAGCCTTGTCACAGTTTGTGTGTGCGTGCCTCTGCTCCCTCCAATCCCTCTCCTGGCTGTGTGGATCCTCCCATTCTTGGGAAGTAGGGAGGAGGAGGTGAATGCCCGGTTTTTCCCTAAACAGCCGACCGATTATTGCCAGAAACACCCGATCCGGGAAGTCTCGAGGATGCGGCTGGCCGAAGACGCGAGCTGATGGCAAGTCCGGGAAGAGAGAGCCCGGACTGAAGTGGATGGGGGACAGAGAGAGGTTGGCGGCGGAGGGCTGTGCGGAGGACGCCGTGGTGGGACACGCCGAACCAGGCTGCGTGCATCAGTACCTCGTGTGGAGCGTGGAGCTCCGGTCCCCCCCGCTCTGCCTGCAGAAATGCTGCATCATGAACCCATCACCCATCCGGATCGGCCCCTGAACCAGCCTGAAAACATCACCCCTTGTGCCTGCTAGCACCAGCAGAAGGGAAGGGAGTAAGGCGTGGACGAGGTACAAAACAAACACACACACACAAAAGAAGATCCAGGCCCCTTTCTGTCTGGACCGCGCTGCTGCCTCCCATCTGTTATCTCAGGACCCCAGGAGGCAGTTGCCAGAAAAGGGAAACTCCTCTTCGCCAACGGGTGTGCAGGCAGGAAGGAAGAGGCGGTGGCCGAATATCTTGCTTTTCCCCACTGAGCATCTCGCTCAACAACTTCTCCTCAACTTCGTGCCCAGCCCGAGGAGCGACCAGGCCAGCTTCTGCTCGGCGGGCTGGAACTTCGGGCAAAGAGGCGCGGGGGACCAGGGGGGGAAAAAAAAAGAGCGGTTCGTTTGCTTGCTGTGTCCGTATTGCTGCTTCCGCTGTCCAGTCTCAACAGAGACACGTGTCATCTGCTTACCCCAGGATATCTAAAAACGGCAGTAAGTCAAGTGGGGCAAATCCCCCCCAACTTTTCCTTTTAAGAAATACCCCCCCCCCAATATTGGCAACTGCCCCTTGACGTTTTTGCGACTCTAAAAAGGACATCTGACACCCCGTCCTTCTCTGCTTGGATTCACTTAAGGAACCCGGACACTTGTGGTTATTTTGCTTTTTGCAAAAAAAGCAGCCGCCACCCCATCTTGACGTTTTCTCGAGCCCATTTGCTTCTGTCTCCCGTTTCCTTTGATCCGGTGCAGCTTGCTCAGATCGCCTCGCCCAGGTCTGCATCCTCTCTCCAGGTCCGGTGGTGGCGGCGACGGCTCGTTCGGCGGAGCCTTCCCCCTGGGATCCGGCCGGCCTTGCGGCGCTCCCATGCTGCTGCTGCGGAAGCTGCCGGGCATGCCGGGCTGGCCGCCGTCGGCGCTGGGTCTGCGGCTGCCGCACAAGTTCGTCGTCCTGCTCTTCCTCTCGGGCCTGCTCACGCTCTGCTTCGGGGCCCTCTTCCTCTTGCCGGACTCGTCCCGCTTCAGGCGCCTCTTCTTGCCCCGCCGCGGTGCAGACCCGGACCTGAGCCGCGGCTCTCCCCCCCCGCCGCCGCCGCCTCCGGGCTCCGACCCCGGCCATCGCCGCCGCCATGCAGCCCTCAGCCCGCCTCCGCAGCTCCACAGGGACCCCAAACTCCCGCCCGCCATGGCAGCCGCCAACGCCGCCACTTCGTCTAAGCGAGAGCGCCACCAACGCCGCCCACAGGGGCCGCCCGGCGCGGGAACCGCCGCCGACCCTCCCCGGCAGCAGACCCGAGCCCCGTTCCGCTTTGACTACCAAGCTTTCCGGCAGAGGCTCCGCCACCCTGTGCTGGGCAGGAGGAGGGGCGGCACCGAGGACCCCGAGCTCCGCTCCCGGAGGCTGAAGATCAAGGAGGTGAGAGCGAAGGAAGGAAGCGGGCGACCCCGGCAGCTGCTCATGGCCGCGCGTCGAGGCCCTTTCCCTCTCTGCCTTCTCCCTTCTCCTCAGGCGTTGGCTCATCCCCCTCAGTGGTTAATTCGAAGTGGGGGTGACTTTAGTCGGGTGTTATTACCGGCAGTGTTAGCGTTCATTGTGTTGGGGTGGGGCTTAGTGGAGTATTGTTACCAGGAGTATTGGTGTTGATTGTGTTGGGTGGTTGTATTAGTGCATTAGGGGCTGTATTGGAAGCATTACTGTTATCTGAGTTGTGGAGGTTTGGCAGATGTTACTGGTGGTGGTGTTAGAGTTAATTATGGTATTGGGGTATAATTAGAAGTAGTATTGGACTGCTGTTAGTGGTGAGGTAGTATTTGCCTTAATTGTGTTTGTGGTGGTATTTGAATATTAATATTGGGGTGGCATTAGCATTCAATGTATTGGGGTGTTCCTAGTGGGGTATTACCACCAGTGACATTAGTGATGGCATTATGGGTGATTATTAATGTTGGGGTGGTGCTAGTTACTTGTGTTAGTGGTGGTACTGGAGCAATATTCCTAGCCCATGACATTCCCCTTGCGGAAGAGGATTTCTGCTGTTCTCCCCCCCCCTCCCAATTGCAAGCCTCCACTTTCCCTCTTGGGCTGTTTCTAAGGGCCCACTGACCTCCAAGAACAATATTTTGGGGCTCTCAGCAGACTGCAGAAGGAGGTGGAAGTGGGAAGGTCCTGCTCCACAAAGTCTATGGATGGTTAGATAACGCAATGTCATTCATATTAGCGTTGGTAGTGGTATTAATGGTATCCACAAGTGCAGTAGCTCCCGATAGTCTCCTGAAGAATTCTAATCTCTGCCCTGAGGAATTTACACTCTAAAATCTGACTCTGGGGAGAGATGCTGGGCCTGGAGCAGGGTCAGAGCACAACGTTTAAAAAGAGCCCTGGAACAAGCGACACAGAAGGCCCCCTTTGCTGCTGCAGGGCCTGATTGGCTCAAACTGGAACCATAATAACAATGTTACCCTTCCCAGATCTGCTCTAGCTTGACAGCACAATCCTATGCAAAGTTACTCCAGTCTAAGCCCATTGATTTCAATGGTTTTAGACTTGAATAGCCCTCCATCTGATTGCACTGTAACACATGCCATTTAGTAAAGAACCCTTAACAAAAATCTTAAGTGGACATGTTCATTATTGTTGTTTTAAAAATAAAAACAATTGGCTTGCATAGTGGGAGGACTTAAGTCCTCATTGCTGGGTCTAACCTGAGTGCGGCATTGGCCCTTAGCTCACCTTTCCCCAGCTGCCAATAGCCCAGTAGGGCCTGCCAGGAACTTGCCCTGTAAAGACTGGCTAGCTCTTCTCCCTCACCTAAAAAAACACTTAGCCCTTCTCTGACATATATGTAGTTATTGATTTGTGAGGAGAGGGAAGAGGTGTGCATATTCCATGGCCAAACCTTGGTAAACTGAAACCAGGCTTCTATGCAGAGCGCTTCATCCTTTTTGCTAAAAGAACAAGGAGACTTATGGCGCCTTAAAAGACTGGCATTTGTTGTGTCAGAAGCTGTGGCGGACTGCCGCTTGCTTTGTTAGCAGCATGAAGTGTGGCCTCAGTTGGCAGATTATATATTAGCACAGGGAAGAAGTTTAAAAAACAGCAGAGGTTGAAAGGCAATGAAATGCAAATAGTATAATCTGACACTTCTCAGTAGATAACAGCTATATACAATTGAGCCTTGTATGGAAATGTCACAAATTTAGATGTACCTCTTACATTTTGCTGCTTCTTCACTCCATTGTTTTTATTTTTGTTTTCCTTTTTCTCTCTCCAGGGTATAGATAACTACATTTCATGTCTCTGACAAAGTGGACTCACACTCTTTTTGTGTGCGTGTTTTGTTGCAGCAAAGTAATAGGGCTGCCACTCTTGAATTTTTGTTTATGTCCTTCCCATCCTTTCATTCTGAATGAATTCACTCTAGAATAATAATTTATAACTTAGTTCTGTGTTTGCAGTAGCATATATGGATTAGAGGTCTTAATTTTGCTTAAAAGCATATGTAGAAATATGTATAAACAGTTATTTTATGATTTTACCAGGTATAAGTTACAGGCGTATGATGTGTCCTGCTTGTAGCCTTAACCTCTGAAGTGCATCTCTCTCCCTTTCAAAGCCACTGGAGATTATTGCAGCTCCTTGTGGCATGTTTCTGTAGTGGACGTAAAGTTGTTTTTGTTCAGCTCTCACATTTCCACAGAGGATGCTGGTTTGAGTATACTACTTGGTGCTGTATTGCGAACTTATGTGTTGTTGGTTTTTTTAAAGATTGTACCTGCTTTCTTTACCTCTTCATTTTTTTAACATCCCATCTGCTGTTTTGTAGGTTATGCCTTCCTACACACCCACCCCATTAGCCCCTTCAAGCTTCAGTTACTTGCTTATTATTCTGCTAGTTACTCTCTCACCTTCTCTGTATTCCTGTGTTTTTTCTTTTTCTTCTTTCTTTTCACTTGCATTCCTCCATCATGATGTTTCCCACTTAGCCATTTTCTTATTTACCTTCCATTTGTTCTCAAAGGATTTTTCTCCATGACTTCTCCATAGCTTCCCAGTTTGCTTCTTCAAGCTTACTTGGAAGCCCTTGCTAATTTCAGTGGTATTTGCTCCCAGGTAAATTGGCATAAGATTGCAGCTTGAATGACTCATTTTAATTTTTCCTTCAGTCTTTTCATGCTTCTATTAACCTTATTTTCTCTCCCTACCCCAATTTTACCACCTAAGGCTGCACAATGGCAGATTCTTATATTACATTTCCACGGATGTAGGGCCACAGCTGAGTACATAGGGACCCAAAACACAGACCTTAATTGCGTATCCCTCTACAATACTTTGTCAAGGAACTGTTTGCATTGCAAGAGTGTCTTTGTTTGTGTGTGTGTGTGGTTGTGGGTATGTCTGTGAGGAAGCAGGTGCAGGCAGCAGATAATATATATCCTGGTGACGCTATTCCCACACATTAAAGAACACACAGCCATTGTACGAGAGTATGAAGCTGTGTGTAAGGAAATGCAATGTGAGAACAGACGCTCATTCTTTCCTATGTGTCTGTGCTGCTCATCTACCTTTCTCCCCCCCCCCCCATCACCTCTCATGCTGTATTGATTTCTGCCTCATTCATCTGCCCTTATCATCTTTCCTCAGTGAGCCCCCTCAGCGCTGCTGTTCAGTTTTGTATTCTTCTTGGTCATATCAGCTCTCTTATGCTTTCTTCCTTTTAGTTTATTCCTTTTTATTCTTTCACACTTACGCTGTGTATAAGTAATAGTTTTTTCAGAGAAGGGGGTAAGGCAGGGCTTTTAGCTGTCCACAGTGAACTTGCTCCTTCCTTTAACCAATGTATTGAAATCTATAAAACCTGTGTGATCAGAGAACATTAAAAGGACCTGTAGGAATTCCACAAGCAGTGATGGCTTTCTGGGACCATCACTGGGTCTTTGAGAAATCATTTTTTAAAAAACACTGTTATCGTTTCCTTGGAGCCTTTTCCCTTCCTTCGATTAATGGTTGCAGCATATTGGGGGCTTGGTGAAGCAATTGTTGGTTACCTTTCCCCCTGTATTTCGCTTGCTTTTCAAATAAACCTGTGCTGTACCTCTTGTTCTCTTCATTCCTCTTTTTGCTGCCCACATAACTTCACCAACATCCCTCTTTAATACTGAATTAGGATTCCTCTTCAGGAGCTGTCCTTTCCCTCAGCCCTTCAAAGGCTCTTGCATGTCTCCACTGGGTTCCCCCCCCCCCCTTCATTTTTACACAGATCAAATGTGAAAGAATTCTAATCGGCTGTAACAGGGCATAATAATAAAATTAAACTGAACAAAGCAGCTGTCGGGTTGGACACTGAGAGAAAATAGAACGGAAATGGAAATGCCCCTTGGGAAATAGTGAAGATTTGATCCATAGAGCTGCATAAAACCAAACCTGGATTAAAATTGCAGGAATTGATAGATACCAGAGGGTTACCCAAAGTCCATTGTCTTTCTGAAAATCAGTTATGATATCAGCTTCCCACAGTTTACAGAGCCATGACCCACCGCCCCATGAGATCCAATTCTAATTTTCTGTTTTTTAGATATCAATCTTTTACCCCTGTCTTTTTACTTACTTGACTCTCTTTCCTGCACCCTCCTATTTATTCCTTTCTTTCCACTTGCCTCCTAGGTATGAAAGTAAAAAAAAATTAAAATAAGATGCTGCTGCCAGTATTAGAAGTGCAAGCAAATTTCAGGATCAGAACCTACCAGACGAGGGGATTAACCATTGGAAGCGAGCACAGTGCAGGCAAAGAGCATCGCAGCCAAGTGCCTGTAGAGCACACAGCTTCAGCAAGTGATGCTGTCTGCATGTTTTGTGAAAGGCAAAAATTCTCCATCATTGTTAGTCTTTGAGCTGTAACCAAATTCTTTCTGGCACCAAATATGGCAATTGGCACAAAGTTATGCCTGGGGCGCAAAGCCCATCCATCATGTTTCCTTAGGAGAAAACTTCATTTTAGCATATGTTTACTCCGCTCTGGTTATGGCAATCCCTGATTCCTAGTCCTATAGGTAACATTTATATAGTGGGAAAGAACTCTGTGGAGCCCCAACAGGGCCTCTTCCTCTAGGCATCCAGGATTTGAAGAGAAAGGGGGAGCAGAATGCTTTGTGAAACTGTGTGAGATTCTGAGCAATGGGTCTTGTTCCTGGGGGGGCTTCACACATGTAACTGAGGATGGAATGTGGCCCAGTGCCCACAGTTTGTGCATAAAGAACTGTCTGGGAGCTTCACAAGTGTTGTAGTGCGATGGGTGACCTAGTTTGACCAAAAAGCTACGGATTTGCTGTCACATTTAGGATCTCTTGCCACAGTGGCTAGCCTGCTCAGAGCAAATCTCAGGATTTCAGTAGATGCTGATTCATAAATCACATAGACCC